CACGCACGCGTCGACATAAATTCACGAGTGGCTGGCCGGCTGATTGCTGACCATCACCAATGATTGGTGATTGGTTGGTTTGGTTGGCAGGCTCTTCGGCCTCCTTGTGGAGAATGTCGACAGCTTGATCGAGGGCTGGTTCCAGAACCAGATCAAGTCGGTCCACGTCCTCTGCCCGCACTGTATCAAGGCCCACCGGCATCCCCCCACGACGTTCAGCCTGAAGGAGATCCAGCTCGCTGTGACGCAGGGCCGACAGCACATGCCGTGCCACGGCGCCCTCCTCGACATCCGTACCCCAGCCCGTCTCCCCGCCCCCTTTCTCCCACTCGCCCCGCTCATCGTGCGTGTTGTGTCGCGTGTCGCGTGTCGCGTGTCGCGTGTCGTGTCGTGTCGTGTTGCTGGTTTTTTCCCCTCTTCTTCCCGCAGACAAATTCGCTGCAGACGTGGCGTTGGTCAATATGACCGAGTGGATCGTGAGCGCCGAGAGCCTCAAGATCGGTGACCTGGTGGGTGCCGGCGCCTTCGCCCAGGTCTACCGGGCACACCTCCACGGCCAGGAGGTACCCCGACGTCCCTCGCCAATCCACATTTTCACACATCGTGAGAACGTGTGCGTGTGCGGTGGGGTGCGTGTGCGTATGCTCACCGGTTGTCGATTGTTTTCACGCAGGTGGCGGCCAAGAAGATCAATCTGGTGGAAGCGGGCGCGCCGCAGGGCGACATCTCGGAGAAGTTCCAGGACCTGCGCCGCGAGGTTATGCTGATGAGGCACGCTTCGTCCCCCCCTAATCTCGCACGCGCAGGCCCAAGGTATTCTAAGCATCCTTGACGACAACAGCGGCCTGAAGCACCCCAACACGGTCCGGCTGAAGGGCATATGCCTTTCTCCGCTGACGATCATCACTGAGTTTCTCTCCGAGGTGAGCGCTCCCAACAGGCCGCACACGCACACGCGCACACACACGATGCGCATCGCACACACACGAACCGCACACGCGCCGATGATTGAATATGAACTCAACAACGAATTGGTCATCACTCCGATGACGACGCCAGGGCAACCTGTACGACTTCCTGAAGGCGCGCGCAGACCAGGCCGAACAGATCGGGTGGGCACTGCGGCTGCGCATCGCGCGCGATATCGCCGAGGGCATGAAGTTCCTCCACAGCGCCACCCCGCCCATCATCCACAGAGACCTCAAGTCTCCCAACGTCCTCGTACGTGTGCGTGTGCGGCGTGTGCGGCGTGTGCGTGTGCTGACGCTCGATCATGTCTTCCGTTCAATGCGTACGACCAGCTGGCGTCTGCGTCGCCGAGCAGTGCGGTAGTGGCCAAGGTGGCCGACTTCGGACTGTCGACACGTATGACGGCGATGACGGTCAAGGGACGGAATGTGTGGAATCCCGTGTGGCTCGCGCCCGAGATCATGCGCAAGAAGGAGTACACCGAAAAGGCCGACGTCTATGGCTACGGTACCCACGCGACCCACGACACGACACGACACGACACGACACGACACGACACGACACGACACGACACGACACGACACGACACGACACACCCACACCGCCGCACACGCACACGCTCATTACTGTACACCAGGCGTCATGTTGTGGGAGATTCTTACGCTGAAGCACCCGTTCGACGAGTACCGAACCAAGTACGAGGCCGACAGCCAACTGGAGGAGGCCATCGTCAACGGACTGCGACCCTCCACGCCCGCCGAGCTCGTACGAGTCCACCCCCCTCCCTCAATTTCACGGCAGCCACCGGGCGTCGGGCTGACACCACCGCACACGCACGCGCACGACCGCACACGCACACGCACCACCGCAATCAGGTTGAGAGCCTGGAGGCGCAGGACTATGTGGAACTACTGTGCGCGTGCTGGGACCCCGAGCCGCAACAGTACGTCGCGCGCTCCTGGCATACTCCTCCGAGCGAAGAAGAGCCTCGACTACTATTGTCGCTCACACACATGACACACACGACACACACTACACACACGACACACACGACACACACGTGTCTCCTGTATTGTATGGGCAGACGGCCGACGTTCGAGCGTGTGTGCGAGAAGCTGAGCGCCATCCAGGAGCAGCTCGCGCCCGCCACTCTTGCGGCCTACGGCGACCAACGGTCGCGGGGCAACCGTGGTACGTATGTCGTGTGTGCCGTGTGTGTCGTTTGTGTCATGTGTGTCGTTTGCGTTGTGTGTCGTTTGTGCTGACGGCGTGTGCGCGCAGCGAGCGAGTCCTCGGAACTGCCGGTTGTTGAACAGGTCTGCTCGTCCAATTTCACCGTCACCAACATCACCAAGGTGCGCGCCTTTCTTTGATTCTTTCGTCAACGTAGCAGTTGGTTTGACTTTGACTTTTATTGACTGAATTATCTTGAATTCCTCTTCTGTTGGGCTCGGGCACGCCCCCCAGCTGGAGAAGGACCGGGGCGTGGGCATCACGTGCCTGCTGGTGGTCGAGAGCGAGGACGACGGCGACGACTACGACAAGTCGATCATGCTCTGGGCCGGCTGCCAGGACGGCGCCGTGTGCGTCTGGAACGCGCGGGTACGTGACCAGTCCGTGACTCGCTTCATTTCCATCGTGCAGGGAAACTGATGATCATGCCACGACACACACGCGCACCACCGCACACGCACACGCACACGCACACACAGAGCGGCGATTTCGTGGCAAGTGTGCCGGCGCACAAGGGTCCGGTGACGAACCTGGTCATCACCGAGGCGGGCGTGTGGTCGTCCTCGCCCAAGGACAACCAGATTCTGCTGTGGGACCGCAAGAAAAATCGAGTCAGCAAGAAGGTCAAGACGACGGCTGGCGTCAACGGGCTCCTCTTCGTGGCGCCCTTCCACGTTTGGTCCACCTCCCAGAACACCATCACGCTCTGGGACGCCAAGGTACCGGCGCTGCCGCTCCACCGCCGCTGACTGCCGCCTCTCGAGAGGCTGACTGTCCCCCCCCTGACTGTCGGCACCACCACGCAGACGGCCAAATCGTACAAGTCGTTCGAGGTCGGGGCCAAGGGCGAGCTGGGCGTGCTGGCCTGCGTCAAGTCCAACGTCTGGGTCGCCGCGGCCTCGTCCATCGTCGTCTGCCAGCCCACGGTACGCCACCATCCGTGTGCGGTGTGGTGTGCGGTGTATGCGATGCTGACGTGGGGGTGTGTGATCAGACCCTGGCCACGCTGGACACGATTGCGAGCCACACGGCCACGATCAACGCCATCGTGCGGGTGGGTCAGGAGGTGTGGTCGTGCGGCAACGACCGGAAGATCGTGACCTACAACCTCGAGGGCGAGGTCCTGCAGTCGATCGACAACGCCGACCGGGTGCTCGCGCTCGCCTACCAGCCCTCCTGCATGCGCGTCTGGTCCACCTCCGCCGACGGCCTCGTCGCCGTGTGGGACGCGCGGGTACACAACACACTACACAGTACACCACACGCTCTTCTTGTTCTTTGATTACTCATCGCACACAACACGCACCACCGCACACGCACACGCACACGCACACGCACGCACGCACACACAAAAAACGATGACACACAGACGTATCAAACGTTGCAGCGGCTGGAGGGCCACCACACGAACGGGCAAAGGGAGGTGGTGGCGCTGGCCCGCTACGCCGACAGCGAGAGCGAGACCATGTGGAGCGCGTCGGCTGACGGCTCGGTCGTCGTCTACCGCCTGGGCGAACCCGCCGCCGTCGTCGCCCACTAGTGGTTACCACCAAACAAGAACAACAGAACAAGAACAACATCACTCACGTACGAAGAAGAAGATGAAGAAGACTGGTTGGTGGATGGTTGCAAGCTTGTCGACAACAAGGGAAAAACAACTTTGGTGTTGATTTGATCTTTGTGTGTTGGAGCTAAAGAATGGCGACGGTCGCGGATAAATATCATCTGCATTTGATGCCCGATGCGTTCCTCTTCGAGCCTGTCACGACCGAGCCCGCCCATTTGCTCGAAATCGAACGTGCCACCGGCACCTTTTCCCTCAAGACTCGTACCACCCCCCCCCCTTCTCGCTACTCTTTTTGCCCCTCCCTAATCCTCCGCCCCCTCAGCTCGGCCTGGTTCGTTTCGCTCCTCGGAGGGCATTGAAGAGATCTTCGGTCTCATCGGCATCATCCGCCTCCTTGCTGGTTTGTGTCCCTCAATCATAATTTATTTATTTATTTACGTATTATTATTACTTTTAATTTGAGCTTTTTATTTGTTCCGATTTATGCGCAACAGTGAGTATCTGCGTTTTAATCTATGTTTAAATATATGATTATTATTTGTGTAGGTCCCTACCTGGTGGTGATTACGGCGAGGAAGCGCGTGGGTCGCCTCCTCGGGTGCGACGTGTGGCGCGTTACCGGCACCAAGCTCCTGCCCTTCGTCAAAGGCCGCCTCCACACCGGTACCCCCTCATTCCCTCCCGTGTGTGCGGTGGTGTGTGCGTGTGTTGCGTGTGTGCGGTGCTGCGTGCGGAGCCGCTTGTGACTCGTGTGTGGCCGTGGTGTCGTGGGACTACGCCGCAGAGAGGCAGCGCGACGAGGAGCGGTACCTGGCGCTGCTGCAGTCGATCCTGAAGGGCGGCCACCTGTACTACTCGACCCACTACGACCTGACCCACAGGGCTCAGAAGCAGCACGCCCTGCGCGACGACCACCAGGACAAGCCCATGTGGGAGCGGGTACCCGCTCCTTTTCATTTATTTTCTTATTTTTTCCTTATAAATATCAATCCTGTTTTTTATTTTGTTTATTTTCATTTTATTTATTCTGTTTTTTTGGCTTACGCGTGTGGGTCTTTTCGTACAGGCCGACCAGCGCTTCTTCTGGAACCGTTACCTCGCCCAGGACTTCATCTCCAGCCAAGTACGCACACACCGCACACGCACCACCGCACACACCGCACACACTTGGCGTTGTTGATTGAGACTCACCGTTGTTGGCGTGATGGTGATGCTGATGGTGCGGATGACTGTGACCACAGCTGGACGGGTGGGTGACGCCCGTGATGCTGGGCTACGTGCAAATCGAGTCCCACTGCACGGTCAACGGCCACCGCTTCGACTACGCCCTCATCTCCCGCCGACACACCAAGCGCGCCGGTTCGTTCTTGTCGACACACACAGCGCTCACCACGCTCGCATCGCTCGCACTAACGCGACACCGCACACACGCACGCATGACACACGCCGCACACGCCGCACCCGCACACGCCGCACCCGCACACGTCGCACACGGCATGCAGGAACGCGCTATCATATCAGGGGAGCGGACGAGCAGGGACACGTGGCGAACTTTGTGGAGACGGAGCAGGTGCTGGTGGTGCCGGCCCAGGACCGCATCTACTCGTTCGTGCAGACGCGGGGCTCCATCCCCGTGTTCTGGAGCCAGGCGCCCGACATCACCTACAAGCCCAAGCCTCGCCTCACCGCCACCGAGAAGCGAAACGTACGCGCGCGGCGCGCCTCCCGCCTTCTCTTCGTTGTGTGTGTGTGTGTGTATGTGTGTGTATGTGTGTGTGTTGCTCACCGCACGGCACACGCACGAAACGCATACAACAGGCGGCGGCGTTCAAAGCGCACATGGACGACCTCACGCGGCACTACAGCCGCCATGTGCTTATCAACCTGATCAACCACAAGGGCGCCGAGGCCGTCATCGGCAAGGAGTACGAGAAGCAGGTACCCTCCTCTTCCTGACGACACGACACGACACGACCAACGACACGACACACGGCAAGCTGAGTGTGTCGCGGCCGCGCAGGTCCAATTGTACGGCGACGAGTCGGTGCGGTACGTGTGGTTCGACTTCCACCACGAGTGCCGCAAGATGCGCTTCGAGAACGTGAGCAACCTCATCCAGCAGGTCAAGCCCGAAATCGAGCAGTTCGGGTACTCTCCTCCCCCCCTCCCCCGCCATTCCCGCACTCCTCTCAAACTCACTCTCATGCGTGTCGTGTGTGTCGTGTCGTGTGTGTCGTGTGTCGTAGATATTTCTTGACGGAGAACAATGAGGCGGTGCGCAAGCAGGAGGGCGTGTTCCGCACGAACTGCATCGACAACCTGGATCGCACGAACGTGGTGCAGAGCACGCTGGCCCGCGAGGTCCTGAACGCGCAGCTGCTCCACGCCGGCGTCTTCCAGCGCCCGTCCGAGTCGATCGCCGACCACCCCGCCTTCAGGCAGATCTTCAATCACGGTGCGTCATTGCCCCCCTCCCGGCGGCTCGATGCTGACGTGGCATATGCGGTGTGTGCGTTGTGACAGTGTGGGCCAACAACGCGGATGCGATCAGCGAGCAGTACGCGGGCACGGGCGCGCTCAAGACCGACTACACGAGGACCGGCAAGCGGTCGTTCAAGGGCGTGCTCAACGACGGCCTCAACTCGGCCACGCGGTACTACCTCAACAACTTCAAGGACGGCTTCCGTCAGGTACACAACGACGCGACGTGACGCGACACGACACGACCAACGACACGACACGACCAACGACACGACACGCAACCACACAACACCGCACACGACGGCACGACGACATGCAACCACGAAACACAGCACACGCCGCGGGGCTGATAGAAAATCTTGGTGTGGTTGTGGTGTGTGTGTGTGTTGTACAGGACGCGTACGACCTGTTCCTGGGCAACTACGTGGTGGGCCAGAGCCCGCGCTCTCCCTTCGCGCACAACTACCGCCCCGTGGCCACCACCCTAGTACCACGACACGACACGACACCACGCGACACGACACGCACCACACTGACCCTTTTCTCACACGTGCTGCGTGTGCGGTCCCAGTTCGTGATTGCGCTCCTGATCGGTGTGGTGATGCTGCTGGCCTCCGTGGTGGCGCCCATCCTCCAGCCCGAGGGCACGCAGTCCATAATCTACCAGTTCATGGTACTACGAGCCCCACCCCTCTCACTCTCTCCTCCCATGCCTGACTCTCGGTCCTAACGTCACTCATTTGCCCAATGTGTGTCGTGTCGTGTTGTGTCGTGTCTTGTGCCTTGTGTGTCGTTGGTCGTGTCGTTGGTCGTGTCGTTGGTCGTGTCGTTGGTCGTGTCGTTGGTCGTGTCGTTGGTCGTGTCGGGTCGTTGGTCGTTGGTCGTGTCGTGTCGTTGGTGGTGTGCAGGTGATCGTGTTCTGGGCGGTCGCGATGGTGGGGGCCTACCGGGTGCTCAAGCTCTACGGCCGCGATCTGGTGGACCGGCCCCAGCTTGTGCCTATTCCCCACTGATTCAAGCTTCGGCTTTCGTTCCCAACTCAAAAAGACTCCTTATCGTGGTCATGGTGAATAAAAAGGTGCTTGTTGATGGTACAAGTACACTCAAGAGGTCCCTGAACGCCCACGCCCCTCGTGGCGCCGATCACTCGAGTCGTCGTGGGGCCTCCTGTCCCTGGGCTTGTGCTTCGCGAAGAGCTGGAACTTCTTCACGGCCTCTGCCAGTCCAGCCACCTCCCGCAGGCAGGCCTCGATTGCCGTCAAGTTGCGGATGACCACCTAGAGGTCCTCCACATACATCCCTGACCGAGTACCAAACTTCCCATAGTACTGTGGTGATGGTGATGAGTGCTTGTGTGAGGAGCTTGAACTCCTCCCAGGAGCCCCTGTAGTTCAGCCACTTAGGGACAGGGCCCTGAAAAAGTGTTGGCAAGGTTGTGTCAAAGTGCTCAATGCCAAAATTGAATGCAACTCCCTGGGCAAAAGATAATTAGCAAAAGTAAATCAAATGAATAAAAAAACTGCTATGAACTGCTGATTATTGGGGAGGTCCCAGCAAACTCCATCTCCATGCCAGGAGCTGCTCAATCAACTTGCACAGCGCCTGTGCCCTCAGCAACAGTTCCTCCTCTTGTTTCCAAATGGGTGTATCAACTGCTTGCATTTTGGTAGGTGGTTGGTTGGGTGATTGTGCAGAAGAGGTGGGTGGCCCATTTTATTGCTGGTGTTGTATCACCAGTGCCATGAAAGGTGGGTGGCACATGGTGACAAAGGAGCTCCACCATTGGGTAGGCCAATCCTTTGACCAATAAGGTGTCACATGGAGACAAAAGAGGTTTATTGGGTAGATAAAGGATGTTTTTATTTTTGTATTATCCATAGTGACTTGTCTTGGCTCAGAAACAAATGTTTACTGTTAACCACCCAGTGAAGTCAACAAACAAGCACATGACCCCTTGTGGAGGAAGACTTGTGTCCCTTCTTTTTGGTGATCACAGTGATGGTACTGAAGTTGGCATTGTAATGGGCCACCATAAAGTTGCTGGTCACAGTGGGGGAGATGTAGAAGAAGACCTGGTGTGTCATGTGCCATTTGGTGTAGTGTGTGTGTAGTGTGTGTGTCATGCATCATGTGTGTCATGTGTCATATGCCATTTGGCAATGTGTCATGTCATTGTGTCATTGGTGGTGTGCAGGTGATTGTGTTCTGGGCAGTCACAATGGTGAATGGTGGGGGCCTACTGGCATGCCTATCCCCCACACTGATCACAAGCCCACTGATCAAAGGCCTTTTTCAACTTTACCACAAGGCATCTGTACAATGCAAACTGGCACCAGTTTCTTTTTTTCTTTATGTTAAGGCCACACAAATGCTTTTGCTTCTAGATTGCTTACACTACTTGA